TAAAGGTAAAAGGAGAACTTTGTAGTTCACTCTTTGGTTTGGGAATTTGTATTATAATTTCGAAAATTATATCTCAAAAAAATTTCATTAAAAATTCTGCGATTATAAAAGTACGAAGACAATCGCAGCGACATAAATTGCAACAAAGTTCAAAGTGAGAATAATCGCAGAGCACGTTTTTCAAATTATAAACGTTCAATCGCCGACACAGAAACCCAGAATACAAAAGAGCGACGAGAAAAGTTGGTTATAACTTGCATGACTTCATTTTACCATGCAAATAATAAAGGTTTGTTCCACGAGTTTGACCTCGTTCGGTTCATAGTTTGTGCAATGTATCCCTGTTAATTGGAACTAAACGGAACCAGTGAAGTTTAGAGGTAAATGATAGACCAATCGTGTAATCGAGTATAATTACCGGAAGTGGAATCGTGAATTTTACGAGCAGTATCGAATTGATCGTTTATCGGCTGCAATTAAAATTCACCACGAATATTACAGTTTCAGGTAAATGTTACATTACACCACGTTGCATTATTAGTTTCAATTTGTGTAATACAGCGAAAATATAATTATAAATATTGCAATTCGAAGTATCTGCTAATAATATTTTTCTCTTGCAGTTGTTGCTATTTTATTCTTTTTTAAATATTCAAAGAAGTATTTATCTCTTAAACTTACGTTACTTGGAAATAAATTTACAATTAATTCTGTATAAAGTATCAGAATCACAGGTAGAATTCTTTAATTTTAAACCTTTATACGTACAACGTAACTGTTTACTTCTATTCGAATTTTGTTACTTAATATTCATTCATGATTTTAAGGAGGAACGGCTCTCTGAGGTTTCGAAAAACAGGTGAAGTTTGGGAATTTTTTTCATAGGTAACTACTAAACGGAAAGTTTCAATTTTTTCAGAGGGTGTAACTGTAACTTTCAGCTTTCTTCTCCAATTTTTAAAAAGTAAAAATGTTACAAAATGGCGGAGTTATTGGGAAACCTTTTCTGCTAGAACATCGATTGCTGATCGCCCATCGCTGGCAAGGCTTGGAACGTCTGAAATAAAAAAATCTTTTTGATTCATAAATAGAAATGTATTATCTACTGCGCAGCTTACAGTTTTCAAAAAATTGCAATTATTATGGAAATGGTGGTAGTTCGAAGAGGAAGAAGCTCCTTTCACCCAAGAAAATTAACATTAAACGTTTCTAAAAAATTAAATAATTGAGATATCGAAAAACTCGTAAGCTACATTATAGATAATACATTTTTATTGATAAATCGACGTTCCAATCCTTGTCAGCAATCGATGTACTAGCAGAAGAGGTTTCGCAATAACTCCTCCATTTTGTAACATTTTGACTTTTCAAAAATTGAAGAAAATAGTAGAAAGTTACATTTACATCCCCCGATAAAATTGAAATCTTTCATTTAACAGTTACCTACGAAAAAAATTCCCAAAATTTATCTATTTTTAGACACCTCAGGGTGGTGCACCCCCAAAAATTAAGTTACCACACAACACCGCAAGAATTCAATCGAAATATCTACTTTTTTTTTTACTACTTCCAAACGATTATTATTCGACAACTCGACATAAAATATTATTTTATCACTTTTAAGCAGTTATCAAATTTCAAATGTTACAATTTCTGCTAAACTGTAGAATCAGACAAATTACTACAATTTACGATCATCATGGCACGAGAAAAATTTCTCGCGGAGCACACTTACGTAGATACGCTAATTTCATGCGTTTTCGCGAAATTCCGCGCACGATCCCGCTTCGCGGAAACTTTCGACAACGAGTTGTGTACGTGAGGATCGTCGCGACCACGCTGGCCGTGTTAATAGTGAATTACTTAACAGCTGAAAGTTTCACGTGTCATTGATATTCCTTTCGTACGCGCGCCGACCACGTGTGCCAGCCGTCTCTGGATTTTCTTCGACCGATTTCTATGCGGATTGGTTTCGATTCGACAGTGTCGACAAACGGTTCAACCAAGACGGTCCTTCCCCGTGAATGACCATGAAAACGTGCTAGAAACTCGATGGTAACGGTTTTATCAATTGTTAAAATGACTCGCGACGTTGATTTGTAAAGGTTCGATGTTTAAGTTATCCGTCGCTCGAATGGTAGAAAGGAATTTGATCGATGTAATTTATGGGGAAATGTAAAGTGTTACAAGTATCGTAAATTTCGACGAAATTTTGTAAATAAAGAAATGAATATTGTTGGATGAAATGTAGGCTTGCTAGGTATTCGAACGAACATAAGAATCTTCAAAGGCAGATGAATTATTTGATAATTTTTTGTAATTTGGAAAATTTGTGGAAATTAAATTTATATTTGGTTCACGAAAGGACAAATTTTTAATTAGTCACCAGGATCATTTGGTGGTTTGTTCTTTGCTTGATAGAATTAGGAAAATGGTGGTACCTGGCGTATGAGCGTGTACAAGTCTCTTGGAGGAATTATTCGGTATTTAAATTGTGGAACATGAATTTAATTCGAAAAATTAAACTAAATCTAATTTAAGAAGTTAAAATAAACTTAATTTTTCAAACACGATATCTACATATATCAAAAAATGATTGAAATTTCATATTTCAAATTGAATTAAATTCATTTATTTAAATTTAATTTAATCGAATTTCTCTAATTTGAAAAATTAAATTTCAACGATTTTTTGATACATATGAATTCAAATTCTCGGAAGACAGTGTGCAACGTTTCACGTAACATCTGTATTTCACAGAAATTAAATTCACAGAAATTAAAAATTACACTAATAAACGACATAAATATTCCCCCAAAAAACAGAAATAAGTAAAAAAGGAACCTCGAATAAGATATGTAACAAATTTGCCTATCTAAATATAAACTAAGCATATCAAATACTTATTAACAACTTTCTACCAAGCAACGAGTAAATTACTCTAATCATTAACAAGCGAATGTTTCGAACGTGTTGTTGCAGACGATTGACAGAATAAGTCCGAAAAATTACAAAATGGGCATCGAGAGTGTTCTTGCGGGTGGCTTGACCTCCGCGTCGAGCGGACTTTCATGGTTCTTTCCGGTTTTGGCAGCCGCGCTGGTCTACTTCCAGTACGAAGTGATGGACAACGAGGCACCGCCGATTAATATACCCTCTGAAGTGCTCCTACCATCTTACGATTTCATCGTGATAGGAGCTGGTTCTGCAGGTACACCTTTTTGCAATGTTAATTATCGACCAACGAAGCTGGGTCATTTGTGACCCAGTGTTATTCGCGTGCGACAGTAGATTCTACCGAAGTGAACAGGTACTTAGAAAATCAGACACTATTGACTGACAATCTTTCGTTTATTCCGACTCGACTCCCGTAGGATATAGAATCGAATCTTCTCTTTCAATCTTCCGGCTTCGATTCTCTTTCGATCCTCCAGAAATCTCCTCGGGAGAGGGCATAGTTTATTTAGCCTTTTTACACATGGAAAATTACGTTTAAAAGACAAGCTTATTCTCGAGATTCAACACTACACCGTTATTTTGCTTCATCTTAAATTCTCTTCCTACTTTCCAGTATACATTTTTACGAAAACTCGTTGACGTTCACGTGTTCCTGTTTAACGGAGAAACGCGGTGCTTCCGCTTCCTGTGAAATTTCGCATTTCACAGATGACAGGTCTTATCCGCAGACAGGTCCATAGAAATCTGGTTTACCCAATTTCGTTACTCTTATTTCACGAATTTTTTCTTTAACTCGGCACTCCTTCCGGTGTTATTTTTATTTTGTAACTTTTTAGCGATAATCCGTAGTGTTTCAGTTATATCTTAGAGAAGATTACTTGTTTACTTCGAATATTATTCTTAATCGTTTAACGCCGTTTCAATTTTATTATTGTTATTTTTACATTTAACGATTAGCGAATCAGTGAAATTACTATAAATTTTCCTGTTATCTCTTTTCGTTCGTTCTTTATCAATAAAAATTTCGCTTTTTATATTAATAGCTCTACCTTTAATTAAATTTTTCTTTGTATATATCCTGTTTGAAAGCACAATTTTGGTTAAGTCCGTGTAAACTTAGTTTTATTCTCTTTTCAAGTAACATTACATTGCTCCACTTTTACAACCATACCTCAATTTCCTTATTTTCATTTGAAAATTTCAATTGAACGGCACAACGACTGCGACCATTTAAATTGTCCCAGTTTTAAAAGTGTGACACATTTCAAATCCGGTGTATAGCACAATTTTGATTAAGTTCGCATAAACTTTTGCTGCAGGAGCTGTGGTAGCAAGCCGGTTGTCCGAGATAGAAAACTGGAACGTGCTTCTCCTGGAAGCTGGCGGCGATGAAACGGAAATCTCCGATGTTCCTCTCCTTGCTGGTTATTTGCAACTCAGCCAACTGGACTGGCAGTACAAAACGGAACCAGACGGGGATTCTTGCCTTGGTAAATCAGAAATTTCGACTCTTATAATTATCTGAAGCCTGTGTAATGTAATACTACTAATACTACAAAATTAGTCTTCACTCATTATTATATAGGTGTATGGAATTATTGTTTGATCTCCTTCCTATTCTAACCCAGTTTCTTTCCTCTCTTTGCAGCGCTGCATATACAGCTGTTTCTCTCTGTATTTCTCTTTATTTTTTAATATTCTTTTATTTGCTTTTACCCTCAGCTTATTTCCCCAATACTCAAAAACCTGCCAAATGACTCTTATTAATTGGTTTTTATTCTCTGCCTTTATCTCTCTTATGCAGTCTATTCCTACTTTTACTCTTAATTTATGTTTTAAAAAAACTCCTGATTTTGTCTTCTACCTTTCATTTGTAATCCTTTGATAATGATACTGTTCTTCCTTTCTCTCCTCCTTCTATTTTTCTCTGCTTCTTTTCTTCTATTTTTCTTTCAAGATTGACAACTCTCTCTTTCTCACTTCTTTCATATTCCTCATTTCACCCATTTTACTCAGCAAAACTCAACCCACCTATTTCCAAAATAAGCCAACAAGACCTTAAAAAAAGGACAAATCCAACGAACCTAAAAAAGCACACTCAACCCAACAATTACCCCAGCAACAATCGTTAAACCAGAAGTTACCACGACGAATTGCGCAACACTCTGAACTGAACCCCTCGTTAAATCGTTTCCGCAGCAATGGATCAGGGACGTTGCAACTGGCCGCGTGGCAAAGTGATCGGAGGCAGCAGCGTTCTGAACTACATGCTCTACCTGCGTGGCAACAAGAAGGACTACGACATCTGGGACCAGCAGGGGAACCCAGGCTGGTCCTCCAGAGACGTTCTCTACTACTTCAAAAAATCCGAAGACAATCAAAACCCCTACCTAGCGAAAACGCCATACCACTCCACCGGAGGATACCTAACGGTCCAAGAAGCACCGTGGCACACTCCTCTGGCCGCCGCGTTCGTTCAAGCCGGCCAAGAAATGGGCTACGAGAATCGAGACATCAACGGGGAACAGCACACAGGCTTCATGATCGCTCAAGGAACGATCAGGCGTGGAAGCAGATGCTCCACTGCGAAAGCGTTCCTCAGACCAGCCAGGCTGCGGAAGAATCTCCACGTTGCTATGCACTCACACGTCACGAAGATTCTGATCGACCCGAAATCGAAGAGGACCTACGGCGTGGAGTTCACCAGAGACGACAAGGTGTTCCGTATTCGAGCGAAGAAGGAAGTTATCGTTTCCGGGGGATCGGTGAACTCCCCGCAAATGTTGATGCTGTCAGGAATCGGACCTAGAGAACACCTGGCGCAGCACGATGTACCGGTGATCCAGGATCTGAGAGTCGGGCACAATCTTCAGGATCACATCGGACTGGGTGGTTTGACGTTCATGGTGAACCAGCAGATTTCTATGGTCGAGAAGAGGTTGCACAGTGTCCAAGCTGTGATGCAGTACGCGATTTTCGGCGACGGTCCTCTCACTGTCCTGGGAGGTGTCGAAGGGCTAGCTTTCGTTAATACCAAGTACGTGAACGCCTCTGACGATTTTCCAGACATAGAGCTGCATTTCATATCGGGGTCGACGAACTCCGACGGAGGTAGACACATCAGGAAGGTTCACGGTCTAACGAAACACTTCTACGACGCTGTTTTTGGGCCGATTAACGACAAGGATGTATGGAGCGTGATCCCTATGCTTCTCAGGCCTAAAAGTAGAGGAGTTATCAAGCTGAGAAGCAAGAATCCATTCGATCATCCGCTGATTTATCCTAATTATTTCAAAGAACCGGAAGACGTCGCTGCTTTAGTCGAAGGAGTGAAGATTGCCGTTGCTCTGAGCAGAACTGCTGCGTTCAGGAGATTCGGAAGTGAACTGAACTCGAAACAATTTCCTGGTTGCAAGCATATTCCTATGTACAGTGATTCTTACTGGGAGTGCATGATCAGACACTATTCCGCGACTATTTATCATCCCGTGGGAACGTGCAAGATGGGTCCTTATTGGGATCCAGAGGCTGTCGTCGATCCTCAGCTCAGGGTTTACGGGGTTAGCGGACTTCGAGTTATCGACGCGTCTATTATGCCGAATTTGGTCAGTGGAAACACAAACGCACCGGTTATTATGATCGGAGAGAAGGGCTCCGACATGATAAAGGAGTTCTGGCTGAAAAGACGCGGTAGAGGGTGAACGGTTGTTTTTCAGAAGTACTGTGTCGTCCTGAAAGTTCCCGCGGTTTCGAGACAATTTTGAACAAAATTGAACTCTATTGAAATGATACGTTTTTAGTTCAAATAATTTCCATAATGTTGGAAGAGGGTGAATGGGTGTTTTTGAGAAATATTAGGCCATCCTGAAAGTTCTAAGGCCGTTTATTTCGAGAAACACTTCATTTCACCGCAGTTGAACATTTTTATTTAAAATAATTTTCACGTTCCACACACTTTTGCCGAGAGTA